CGCTTTGGTGTATACAACACACGCTTGGTTCTCATGCTTTGCTGGGTATCAGAATCACTTATGATGCTAACAGGATACAAAGAGTCCTAAGACCTGGGGAAACAAGGCTAGATAAACCAGACAGACAGGTTCTGTGTTCAAATCCATGATCTTTTTACTACCTATGTGGCCTTTACAAAATCATTTAAGCTTTCTGAACCTAGTATTCATCAACCTGGCAGTGAAAATTCAAGGACACCCCCACTTTATTGACCTAAGACAGACCACGTACTCAGGACACAAAGGGTCACGATTGTCATTCTGATCACGGGTCAAACCACTTGCTGGAACATAACACCGTATATAGAAGTTTTTGAATGGTGCATCTTCATTGATTTTAGGACATCAAACACATTTGATAAATGTGGGGAGAGTGCACGGACCGATATCTTATTGATCAGCTCACCAATGCTTTTATTTAGTTTGAAGTCTAGAAAAGAAGAATTGCTAATAGTTCCCAGAACCACTTGTAATCAAAGTTCTTCTGTCCTTCCAGCTCCAGGAGATGCCTCGAGCTAGGGCTTAATGTCCCAGAAAGTCCCACCCTGGTCACACCCCTAACAAGCTGTGCTCATTCGACCTGCATTGGCATGGTCCTCGGCCACCACACTGCAGGCACTAAGCACGGGAGGAAAGTGAAGTGGTGCCTACGCCCTCAGAGACCCATAACCCAACTCTACCTGGCCAGATATCCCTTGGGTCTGGCGAAACGGTTTGCGGTGCAGGGAATAGAAGTTTCTGTGGGGTATCCCTGGAGAGGTAAGGAGCACCCCTAGGGAAAAGGATGGTTAGGACTGAACCCTTCAGCTCCTGCCTTCTCTGACTAAAAGATAAGGGACGGGAAGAAACCACTAAAACTCTTCCTGAGCCAGGGCAATGTGGTCCCTGGGTCCTGGGTGGGGGAGGGGTGGTGGAAATATGACCTCCTTGCTCTCCTGCTCTCCCTTCTGGAATGCAAATGTTTTAAGCACCAGGTATGTAAAAGACTGAGACAAGGCCCAGCCTGGCCTCTGACTCAAAGAAATCCCAGGTCGCCTTCCTCCTGTGGCCTGCAGACAAAGGCATGGACTTTCTGATCTCCGCAGAGAGCACACGCAACTGGGCTGGAATCACAGGGGCATCACCCCAGAGGAGCGGCAGGCAGGGATGGCGTCTTCCCTGAGGCACTGAGCAGCATCCAGTACAGAGCCATCTTCATTGTGAGGGAAGGAGGAGCCTGGAAAGAGTTCAGAGGTGGAGCACTTGCCAGGACGCAGGAGTCCCTGGGTTTGAGCCTCAATACAGGAGAACAACAAAAAACAGTGAGGAGGGAGGAAGAAAGCAAGCAAGGCGAACTTGGGAGGACCTGGGCAGGACTGGGTGAGGCTGCCCTGGTAGAGGAAGCCTCCCTAGGCCAGCTGGCAGGCACAGCTGAAGACTTCACACTGGCCTGGGCCCTTCCTTGAGCTCATTCTTGGCGATTGGTCTGCCTTTCTTCCTCTGATCTCCAGGATATTCTTTGCAGGTTAGTTACAGATGGTAATTTTTTTTCCATGCTTAAGTCACCTCAGGGATGCCCCGAAGGTAAGCAGATACAAAATGGGATGCACTCAGGTGTGGTCAGAATTGGAGGGAGGGCGGGCTACCAGGGCTCTGTGACCACGTGTGAGGAACGTGATCTTTCGTGGACTTGTATGGCTGAGTGCTTAAGTGGCCACTGCTTTCCTCACGGCCCTGTTTCCTCCTAGTTCGCCTCTGACCTCTGTACACAGATCAGAAACCATGGGATACGAAAGCTCTGGTTTTTGGAAGGGTGAGGATGAATCAGGCCCTTGCCAGCAGCTTGGTCGGCAGCCCCACACCACCGCCGCCATCCTGAACAGACCATTAGTAGATGCCAGGAACCCTTCTAAGAGCCTATCCGTCTTTTTCTCTATGTGGGGAGATGGCCCAGAAGATAAGCTGTCGGCTACATAAGCATGAGGACCTGAGTTAGAACCCCAGAACCCACACCTACAAACCAGGCATTCTAACCATTTATAGCTGGCACAGACCCTGGAGGCCACCTGACCCTATTCAGCAAGCCCTAGGCCAATGAGAGACCCTGTCTCAAAACCCGAGATGGGTGTGGCTGGAAAGATGACTTTGCAGTGAAGAGCACTGGCTGCTCTTGTAGAGAACCCAACTTGAATTCCTAGGATCTATTTGGTGGCTAGCGACCATCTGTAACTCCAGTTCTAGAGGGTCTGACACCCTTTCTGGCCTCTACAGGCACCAGGCATGCAAGTGATGCACACACATACATTCAGACAAAATACACACATAAAATTAAATTCTAATAAAAAAAAATAAAAATAAGAAGAGTGATGCCTGAGGAGGCATGCTGCCAAGATCATCTTCTGGTCTCCACACACTTGTTCGCGCTCACACGCAAACACTCACGACCAAGTACGCTCTCTCTGTCTCTCTCTTTCTCTGTCCTCTGCTCTGTCTCTTACGATGACTAGCGAATAAATGTGGAACTCAAGGTAGGTAAGTGCCCAGCGGTCAAGGCCAGGAAGTGACGCTTTCTTCCATTCTGTTAGACAATAATTTCACTTCTGGTCCTGGGGTAAGGCACTGGCTCCTGGAGGCTTTGTGGAAATGCCCATTCTTGGGTCTCACCCTGCCCTTCTCAGGGGAGGAGCTCAGCAGCCTGTGCTCTCCACAGGACACCACCCATTGCAACCTCCTAGCCACAGTCACTACTCGCCACTCAGCCCGCTTCTCACCTACCTGTTCCAAGGGGAAACAGCTGGCAAAGCTCTGAGTCCAAGGCTGAGCTTGCAGAGGGGAGAGCTGCAATGTGAAGACAAAGACGCCAAGCCTTTTGGGCCCTCCTAGACATCCATCAGTCATACATAGACATTAATAAAAAGTGAGTCATTTGTCAATGGTGTTGGGTTATGGTACTGTATCATATGGGATCTTAGTTGCCAAAATTATAAAAGTAGCAATCTGGACAGTTGTTAGACAAACAGAGCTGAGTTTGGAGCAAGACAACAGGATCTTACCCCTCTGATGTAGTGGAGATAAAGCCAAGCCACATACTACGAACAAGGTTCCTTTATTGAAACCTCAGCCGGCTTTCTTATACAACCCAGGACCACCTGGCCATGGGTGGCATCGCCTACTGCAGACTAGATCCTTGGGTGTCAATCATTCATCAGGAAAATGCCCCCAATATTTGCCCACAGGATAGTCTGCTGGAGGCAATATCTCAATATGTCTAGAGCTGGCTCAAATTGATAAAAACTATAGAGCACATTTTCTCTCTGAGTAAACTTCTTGGGTCTTCCATTTTACAGATACTCTCCTCAGCAATATTTAATAAACTCTTCATACCATCTATTGCCTTTTTAATTTTAGCAACTGTATATGTTAAATATCTCTTTATTTATTTTATGTGTGTGCCTGAGTATATGTATGTGTAGCCCCTAGCAACTATATTTTTAATTTCTAAAATACTAACAATATTTTTGAGACAGAATCTCACTGTGTAGCTCTGTCTATCCTGAATTTGCTACACAGACCAGGTTGGCTTGGAACTCACAAGAGATCTACCTGCCTATGTCTCCTGAGTGCTGGGACTAAAGACATGTGCCACTACACCTGCAGTAATTTTTTTAAAAATATCATTTTATGCCTTTTTCAGTTTTGGTGTGATTTCCATAATTTTTCCAAAATTTGATTATGGAAATTTTTCATCTCCATAAATTTCCATATTGATTTAAAATCTATTTTCTAGTTGGTATCTGAAACTCTTGGAGACCCATTTACTTCTGGGACTAGCTCTTGGTAATAAGCTTCACAATGTTTTCTGATTTCGAACCTCTTTTTACATGTGTTTACCACAGAGAACTCTTTCTGGCCTGGACTGAAATATATCAATGTAGTTTCACACTTACTGAATCCCTTTGGTTAGTTCAAGTATAAACTCAAAATCTAAACCCATGTCAAAGTCAGGCATGCCTCATTCAACGGATCCGTCAACCTATGCAGAGTCCAAGCTAAAGACACAGCCCGCAAGAGTTTGGATCTCCTGTGGGCGTATGGATTTCCTCTTTGGTCTTGCATCAGCACCAACGCCTCCATTTGCTTTGCTCATCAACACCCAGGCTTCTAGTTCATCACAATTAACATCCTTTCTTGTCTCCAGCCCCTCCCCCTACTGGGTCAGCCTTCCTTCCATTCTTGGATGCAAGACCTGGGGGTTGGAAGGTGGGAGGAATTGTGTGCTTAAATCTGAGTGTAGGCACAAATCCCCACCGCTACTGCATGCTCTGTAAGCTTCTGGCTAGGCCTCAAATGATGAATCCCAACGGCCCTTTCTGTCTCATTCTGTTGCCACAGTCCTTCTTTTGGCTCTGTCTTTTACAAGATACCTGCTATTAGGCGGCTTGTCATTTAACCTCCTGGAGCCTTGCTTACCTGTGGAAGGAGGGCTGTTAAGTACAACCCAAGATCTGTTGTAAACTAAGACAAAATGAAGTTCAAATGCCACCAGGCACCGAGTACACGTCCATGGATGTGAGAGCCATCATCTCAGCTTCGCCAGCCTGGTTAGAGCGCTGGTGATGTGGTGGGTAGGCCTGGTGCTGGGCTGCTGCAGAGCTGCAGAGCTTGTGGGGCAGATATTCAGTGTTTGCTTCCCTTAGGAACTGGATAGAATGTTCCACGTGAGGCCAGAGCCTCTGTGGGAGGCCACCAGTCGCAAACAAGCTGCTCCAAGGCAGCATGTCGTGGAGGTCACTGGGACACGCACACCTGGCAACAGCAGGACTTTGTGCCCGGATTGCCCACAGACCTGCTGAACTTTGCAGAGGCAAAGATGATTCCTTTGAGTCAGCCTTATGACCTTTGACACCACTATCTTCTTACACCCAGCCAACTAAGCTATAAAAGCAATTCGGTTTAACACAGTCTCCCTGCAGCCTGTCCCTTCACGGTCACCAGACGCCTACACCAGACCAGAGGCCACCATCATGACGAGGGACCAGAATGGAACCTGGGAAATGGAGAGTAATGAGAACTTTGAAGGCTACATGAAGGCCCTAGGTAAGAGGTTAAGGGGATGGGGAGGAAGAGGACATTTGGAGGATAATAGACTGGTCCTCTAGGAGGTGCTAGTGGGAGACTCATCAGAGCTCTGGGTAAATCCCCTCTGTCCCAGTCAAAACCATGCTAAGTCAGCTGAGACACATGAACTCTATGAAGTTCTTTCCCTACCTGGAAATAATAAATGGGATGGGGTTAGAATGTGCTGAGCACAGTGCCTGGCTGACAGAAAACACACACTGGATGGAGGATACAGACACGTGTCACATGTTCACACACATACACACACACACACACACACACACACACACGACCAGTGTTGTCTGCCCTAGAGGACACCAGATCACTCTCTGGCCTTACCATCACCGTCTCATAGATAGCCATTTGAATCAGTCACTATCACCAATTCCTCCAGTTGGAGTTTTTCTCGGCCTTGTCATAAAAAAAAAATTGAAGAACCAGCTAGCCAATCTCTCTAGCCTGAGGCATTCAGGCTCCCAGAAGGCTGAAGGGAGCTGCTATCATATGGCTCAAACCACCCACTGTTATTTCTGCTCCAGGCCAAGGGCTACTCATCTGTGTCTCGAGCTAGTGACAGGGTAGGTCTGTAGGTCTCTCCTAGTGTTGGCAGAAACATGGGGTCCTGGAAACCTCTGGGCTATACTTGAACAGAGATGGGGTGAGTCACCACAGGGGCTTCCCAATGGCGGCAGCAGCCGGGCACCGGGCGAGGATCTTGGCTGCCCAGCTGACTTCTTCCCCATCCTGCTCACCTCCACCCTGAAATTCTTCATACACACACGTGCCTGCACATGAGGGAGCCACACAAGGATGAGAGAGAAATGGCCTCGGAGGCCCAGAAATTTGGGTATGGGGGTGAGAAGTTTGTGAGAATGGGGGTTGTGGGGTTTACCTCAGTATTTAAAGAAAGACAGGCAAAAATCTCCTCTTATTGGGGCTCCACTCACTAGGGTGAGGACACCTAGCTTGTTTGGAACGAAGTGTAGCATGGTGCAGGCAGAAAGGAAATATTCCTGTCACACTTCTGCTTGGTGACACAGGTGGCCAACAGAAATGGGGTTCTGAGCCCACATATGTAACTGATTAGAGGGGTAGGCGAGCCCAGAGTGCGTGCAGACTAAGCCCCTCCCCCTCCCCCCCCTCAGGACTTACTCTGTGATGTGGAATCAGGTTTTTGACTTTTTGTGACCTCGGTTTCCCCATCTGCCAAACAGAGATAAGAACACTCATATTGTAGATTCTCTAGGTGCTGCTAGGTGCAGCTGTGATTTTGGACAACTGAAAGTCTTGTCATATGGGCTGTTTGGAAGCACCTTGGTTTCGTAAGTATACTAGACAAGCTGGGCACATAGATTATTATCAGAAAGCAGTGTGCATTTTGCTGCATTTGCTTAAACGATACGAATTCCAGAGCCAGCAAGCTGGTCCAATGAGTACAAACGCTTGGCACACAAGCCTGAGACCCGAGTTTAATCCCTGGAGCCCACAGTAGAAGGAAAAAAAAACCAACTCTCAAAAGTTGTCTTCTGACCTCCACACACACGCTATGGTACACACATGTCCCCCACCCTCACCCACACTACATATACACATACACATGATAATGATATTAGGGATAAAACCCAGTACCAGTTCAGTGTATGGTCCCATGGGTAGACTCCTGAAGTCCAGCTCCTCAGTTTGAAGGTAGAAGGCAAACATGACCACCCCCTACCCTTTTCCCTCAAGAGAGATGCTGGGGGTATACCCTTAACTCTTTGAAAGGAATCTGCTATCTATATCTAGCTTCCTTTGGACTCCGAGACAAGCTTACACCACAATGGGCACGAGGGACTTTCAGTTTGTGAGTGTATTGCTTAGAGACTTCAGGATTGACTTTTTGAATCCTTAGCATCAGTTACTTCTCATCAGTTTGGGCTTCAGTAAAAATGTACACTCTAACATCATATTAGACTGAGCAGACTGATTCAACTCTTTGGAGCTGGATCCCGCTCTGTAGAAGGGCGGCTGGCACTTTGGGGATTGAAATGCCTACCACAGGTGATGGCTCTAGCTAGGCACAGAGCGTGGGTGTCCTTGTACTGGCGCCCAGCTGCTGATAGCATTCTGTCTCAGGATCCTATAGACTGGCCCCACCTCGACACCACAATGCCCTGTACAAAAAGAAAAAAACTCAGCCAGAGTCATGCTTGCACTGCTGAGCCGAGACACCTGATTTCCTTCACCTGCCCATGGGCAGGACGGGGCTGGCAGTGATTAATGCCAAGGGAATCAGCCGAAAGCAGATGAGGAGTGGCTGCCCCGGCACTCTACCTTGTCAAAAGTTGCTCCATAGATTAGTTTGACGTCTGCCTCACCCTGCTGAAAGGCAGCGTTGTTTTCCCGAGGCTGGGAAATCAATGAAGCTTGCCTTCTGTGCCCCTTTGTGCCCTTGGCATTTGGGATGAGCATGGCAGAGATCTTTGCAAATCCCCAGGTGTGTAAATGCCATCAGGTATGACACTGTTCTTTGCCTAAGAGCCGTCACTTTCTTGGACTTTCACTCGGTCCATCAGCGAGGGAACTGGCTTTCTCTGGGAGACCTGGTTCTCCATGCGGTAGGGAGGGAGCCGCACCCTGGCTTTGTCAATAGCCCAGTGGCTCACTTGATACCCTCGCCTCCACACGTGACTCAGGTACCGACCTCCGCACAATGACGTGGCATGGCAACCTTTGGGTTTGCCTCAAGTTATCAAAGTCATTAAGAGCACAAGTGTCCGGGATGACTGAGTGGTGCCTCCTGGGCACTGCAAGGCTTTCCTAGACCCTTTCTGACCCTGAAGAAAGCAGCTTGAAAGCCCCCATCACCCATCGACTCTGTCGTGTCTACCATCCGCCTTTGGACCAGAAAAAGAGGAGTGGGAGAAAGGTCTTCATTTCTAAAGGAGGGGCGGGCAGAGCTGTAGAAAGAAGCTTCTGATCATGTGGAGGAGATGAGAGCAGAGTCCATTAGCTCTGCCCAGGGTAGAGACTCACCCAGCTGCCACATGGAGCATCAGTGGTTGCTTATGGAAGCAGGGGCTGTGTCATCTGCGCAGAATCCAAGCAGCTCTGCTCTGGAGGGAACCTTTGTGGCCACTGGTCATGGAATGGTAAATGAGAAGACTGTCCCCCACCCACACAGAGTGGATCTCCTCCCTGGTGGGAGGAGCGGAAGGGTGCCGAGAGAGAACACCAGAACACGGTGCTAGGTGATTCTAGGTAGTGAAAGCATTTTAAAGACTAAAAAGAAGCCAGGCAATGGTGGTGCATGCTTTTAATCCCAGCACTCCGGGAGGCAGAGGCACGCAGATCTCTGTGAGTTCGAGGCCAGCCTGGTCTACAGAGCTAGTTCCAGGACAGCTAAGGCTGTTACACAGAGAAACCCTGTCTCAAAAAACATCAGAGGAAAAAAAAAAATAGACAAAGAAGGAGAACAATGTCTGAAGAGTTACAAAAGGTCACCAGGTCAAGAAAGACAAGCCAAAGAGTTGGCAATTCTTAAAGCCAGAAGCTGAAGCTAAACTATGTTCCCAAAGCAAGGGACAGTAAGTGCAAAAGATTTTTGCGTGTCCAGGAAGGTACACCGCAGGAGGGCTGGGGTGTGGGAGTGTACAGACAGATGGAAGATACAGAAGATAGGCGAGGAGGCTGAGGGTGGAAAGACAGCCAGGGGTTAGACCAAGCATTCTGTTGCTCCTGGGTTGAGTTCATCCCCCCCCCCCCTACACAGCCAAGACACGGACAGCATGGGTATGAGCGTGTTGAGATGAGACCTAGAGCTTGGAGTAAAGTCAGGTCTGAGGACAGAAGGGATATTTTCCGTCTGATGAGATGAAGAACCTGAAGCCCAGAGAAGGAGAAACGCCTAGGGATACAGGTGACTAGGAAGTAGCAGGACCCAGACAGGAACCCGATCTATCTCTTCTAACAACTTGCTAACCCCCCCCCCCCCCCCCCCCGGGCAGCTCTGGACAGGAGGGTGCCAAGGGAGTGAGTGGTAAGGACTTCACTCTGAACATTGCTAAATGGTGGAGGCATCCAAAGCAGAGAGGCAGCGCCTTCAAAAAACACTGAGAAGGTTACTCAGGGTCCCTAACTGAAAACCAACCAGCAGCTGATGGTCTGAGAATGCAGTTATTGGACAAAACTCTGGATTTCTGCTGGCATTGACAAGCCAACCAAGTTATTCAGTTCATCAGAGTCTTAATTGTGCCACATGGTACTTAGTTGGACTTTGGAAGGAAAAAGTACCAAGAGGCAGAAAAATCCAAGAGACAACGATAACTGCTTCCCCCTTCTCCGGTCCCACTTTCACGTGCTGGTAACACTTCTCCCGTGAACCCGCCCCAGTGGAGATCATTAGACTAAGGGTGCAGAGTACCGAGTACGAGCCATGAGCCCAGGGTCACCAGCCTGCCTGCAATAGTGAGGAGGGAGCGAAGGAAGAGAGGCGGGGACCCATCTAATTCCCTTCTAAATGTGTCCCCTGGAGGAGGAAATGGTATGGAAAGAAAGAGAAAATTGTTCTTCCACTCGGCTTCTCCCTATTGCTTGGAAGAGTCGATGATTTGAGAGTTAAGGAGTCCAGGTTCAAAGCCCATTGAGGCCGCACTTTGAACTGTTCTCAGATTTCCTGTGATGGATTGCTGCGCATCTCCGCTCTTTAATTTACAAAGAGCACCTGCCCTTTTAGCTTGCAACTTTAGCTTTCTTCGCAAGCATATTACAGAGCATTTTAACGTTGAGAAGCACGCTCGTATTTCAGCTTTATGGCTTGCATTGTTCAAGATGCAGTTATGAAAAGTATGCTTAATAAAGTCACTTGGCTGTTGTTGATTTGTTTTTCCGCAGCGGCAGCCACGAGCCGTGTATATTATTCAGAAATAGCTTGTCTTTGGACCTTTCCTTCTGAGATAGAATGTCACTTTACCTGGCTGTAAATCAGGCTCGGAGGTACCTGTAAGACCGAAAAGCAGATAAAACAAACTTGATAACCCTAGTGTTAAAATATCATATCAGGAAAGTAGTTTCCTCTGCAAAGTTCAAAGAGGAAGTGCTTGTGTACTGTGTGTGTGTGTGTGTGAGCGCGTGCACACAAATGTGTATTCTGTAGCTTCAGTTAAACCTTCTGATTAGAAATATCTAACAAGAAATCCACCAGCGGGGTATTTCGCTCCCTTCCCCGGGGTGGAGCAGAGGTGACATGATTAACTGGCTTGTGCGAACGCTAAAGGGTGGCCAAGAGGCCAAGCCATTTTTCAATCTGGAGGCGAAGCAGTGTTTGCTTCCATTTGCATAGAGCCCCTAATAACATTCTCCTGGCCCTAGTCAGGAAGATTGACAAGGATGCTATTTCCAGGACACACTGGTTCCCTCAGCAACAACCAGCCATTTCACTGCGATCCGCTATTCTAGGCAGTCCAGGACAAGTCATAATTTTTGTTAGGGAGCCTGAGCTATAAATGACAAGCAGGCTGCATTTGTAGGGACACTGTGAAGCCGGATGGTGCTGAGCCCACCGCTTCAATTCTCTGGGCCACGATGTCCACTTCCACAGAACGGATATAGATTTGCTGGCTAAAGAACAATCTGTCCTAAATTTCCCCACAATTTCCCATCCTTCCATAGTCGTTTACCTGGAGTGTTCCCCTTTGGTTAGCAACATCTTCTTCCTACCCCTAGTGATGGCTGCAGGAGCTCTGGTTAGCACAACTTCAACATGCAGGGTTTGAGTAAAAGCCACTGACCGAGCAAAGCAGAGGGAAGAAGCTGGTCCAGCCTGAGAGGTATCCCGCTAGGCTGGACAAAGGGCACCATAATAGCTACAGTTATATTGCTCTGTAGCGAGGTGTATATCCAGTAGCTATAGGGATACATAATTGTGATCTGAAACTTTTGCTCTGGGCTAAAGTGACCCAAACAGACAAGGACATAATGGAAGCCTGTGTGTAGTGAATGGATACACACAAGCTCTTGGGAACCGGGTACAGACTTTCTCCATAGAGCTGACTAAGTCCTCACCACCACAGCCAAAGGAAATGAGTGTTCTTTTGCCAGGAGGAAACTGACGCTCTGGAAGGGAGAGTGGCTTCTGTAAAGTCACATAGCTGGGGAATCGGGACCCACCTGCCCCTCACTCTCACTCTTGGGTGCTTGTGGTTTTAAATTGAGGTGTGCACAAAAATGAGATTTCCACGGGTTTCCAGGTTCTGCTGCTGCTGCTAATGGTGGTCCAGGGTCCTGGCTTTAATATCACTGCCCTGGACTACGCTCCTCCATTAACAAGTCCTTACTATCTGAGCATCTACTGTGAGCATCACCCTAGGGCTGGTTGTGGTAGGGGACACAGGGGAGGACAGAGTCATCAAACCCATGATCAAGTCGTGTGTAAGACAACTCTTGCTTCTCACTTAAGTCAAGAAATGTGGCGTGTCCCCAGCCTGAGTTTCTGGGCCTGAGCACTTTGCCTTGTTAAAGAAATGAATGAGCCTGGCTGCACACATCATAACCTCCGCTACTCCCTCTGCCAACAGATATTGATTTTGCCACCCGCAAGATCGCGGTACGTCTGAGTCAGACGAAGATCATCACTCAAGATGGTGATAACTTCAAGACAAAAACCAACAGCACGTTCAGAAACTATGACTTGGACTTTACCGTCGGGGTGGAGTTTGACGAGCACACGAAGGGCCTGGACGGCCGGCACGTCAAGGTACCTGGGTGGGAGGGGTTTCGCTGGGCCTGTTCATGCAAGGCGTGACTTTCTGGTTTCACACTGACTGGATGATAGAACCAACCCCAGGAAGGTTCCAGTAAGCAGATCGAGAATGAACTGACATTGGCAATGAGTAATTGGTGAAGGCTGAGTAAAGAGAGGCAGGAGAGGCCTTAGATCACGTGAGAAATTAAGGCAGGGCCCCATCCTCTCGACTACAAGGCTGGGGAAGCAGCAGAAAAAGGGTATGATGGAGTGTCCTAAGAACGGATAACCATGGAGCTCAGCCAAGCAGTTTACCTAGATCTAGAGAGGCATCCATGCTCAGCTCCAGCCAGCCTGGCCCAAGAAAGGATGAGGTTTCATGGTACCTGCCTTTCTGTTGTTTGTTTTTGTTAGGGTTCCTGAGAATGCAGGTGTTTTTACATGTAGCCTCTCACTTTAACATGACCCAACTTCCTTTTTAGAAAATCATGATGCAAATGAAATACGACAAACTCAGTGGACTCAGTAAAGTTAGTAACCCAGTACTGGTGACTTGTGTGGCTTCTGCCCAGCGAGACTTAACTCCTGGGATATAATCTATGGAACCCTATGGAGTCAAAGGCCATACATCCAGTATTTGAACTGCGGTGGTCCTCCGTTAGCCAAGGTCTCACTAGGTCCCACAGTTTCCCACGGTCAACTGCAGTGCAAAAATAGTGAATGGGAGATCCCAGAAACCAACCCCCAAGTTTTAAACTGCACCCCATGAGCAGCATGACGGAGTCTCCCTTGCCTGCTCCACACTGCCCAGGACGTTAGCCATTTCTTTGTCCAGCCTATCTACCCTATACACTACCTATGCATTACCCACCCACCGGTCACTCGGTAGCCATGTTAGTTCCACAGAATATATAGGGTTCAATTCTACCCGAGGTCACACTGAGATTCTCGGAGCATATACCTAATTGATGAGAGGGGGCTACTCTACTTGAACTGGTCAACCCCGAAAGCACAGAGAAAACCACTCTCAACAGAAGGTGACATGCCATCTCCAAGTCTGAGACCTCAACTCTAAGAAAGAGCATGCCTTTATCCAAAGCAGCTGTTCATGAAGAAAGCAGAGGCTGCTAAGTGGCAAGAAAATGTGGGGTAAGAGAAGTAGGGGCAACAGTAGCTCCCCTGCATTGCTGTGGGATGCCCCTGCCCAGTGGCCTGCTCCTCACACTATGTTCCAGTTTTTGGCCATTGCACCTGGCCTGTACCCTCCGAACAGGAAGAAGAGAGATTCTATCTCAGTCCCACTTAAAGGCTCTCCTCCCCAAACCTTAGCATCACAGCCCTGAAGATCGTACAGAAGACCTGGAAAGGCTACTGGTTTGTCACATGTCCCAGTGACCATTGGCTAGACCACCTACGCCTATGTAGTTTACACAAGGCTGCCAGTTTGGATGTCTGGATAGTCACAGCACTCTCTGTGCCAGCTTGCCTTTGCCAGGCTCCTAACCAGAGAAGGGATACACTGTCTCGAGTAAATGAGCCCTCATCCCCAGCTCGTTGGGATGACACAATGATGCGGGATCCTCCACCTTTCTCTGCCCAGTCACCGCAGCCCCCTCTTCCTATGCAAAACCCTGTCTTGTTCTTCCAGGAGCTCTTCTAAAGTCTCAGGGGAAAAGTTCTGGTTCCTCTCCTGGCCTGAGAGTATTAGTCATTGGCTAGCTGAGTCCTTTAGCTTTACTAAGGAGAGACCAAAGAGCAAAGGAGAAAAGCTCTTCAAATGCTGTTCTCCAGCCACTTTTATTTCCCTCAGTGTTTGGCTATAGCAAGTGGCAGCAATGGGCAGGTGGGAGTAGCAGTAGGTGGTATACTCTGACGTCATTGACCCTATGCCCATCTAAGAAATGGGGACCCTTAGCCAACAGGTGTCAGAGCTCTTCTGCAGGTTAGAAATCCAGATCTCTTAGCCCTTACCACTGACCACTGTTCGAGCCCTTAGCCCAAGAGTCTGAGATTCTTGGCTCTAAATACTTGACAGCTCCCTGGAAAGCTGGTGACCAGGGTGGCAGTTTCTCATCTGTGACTCTGTCCAGCCTTTTATCTTTCTTCAATGTCAGCTATCTGAGGAGCCCACTTTGAGAGCCAGAGAAAGGAGTGCCAGGACCAACCGCAGTCTTGCCTCTGTAGCCGGGTCACAGCCGTTCCTCAGCAAGGCCACCAGGGAAGGTGGAAGACGTTGCAGAGTCAGAGTCCTCCAAGGCCTGGGGTAGTACAAAGTCTGCTACAAGCTGTTTCCAACAACCTTGGCTGAGGCCAAGCCTGCAGAAGCCAGAGCAATTAGCTGTGACCATCAAGGAGCCTTTTCAAGGCATTCACGGAGGGTTCAAGATGGCTGATGCCAACATCGTAAGGGCAGCCCAGCTGGCTGATGGGCAGACAGAGCTTTTTTCCAAAAGAGTGAGGACAGCAATGAGGGAAGAGCCCAGCAACTGCCAATTAGGGAATCAAATTAGCCTGTGCCCCAACATCTTAGTCACGAGAAAATACCAGAAGGGGCGCTTACCATAAGAATCTATCACTAAATAGCAGCGATTTAAATCTACTTTAACAGTGCTTAAACCTTCCCAGCATCCCAAGGCGTCGTGGGTCCCTTTTCCTGCCCCTGTGTGATGGCTCACAGAAAGCAGGGCACATCCCCCAGTCAAGGTGACCTAGCATTCATAATCTCATCTATCAAGGAAAATTGGATGCAGTGATTCTTGCTGAAAAATGACAGCGGTAAAAAAGTATTTTGGAGCTCTTCCCTCAGAGCTGATCTGACAAAGGAAAGCCCCAGAAGGTCCAAGTTAGGCCCCTTTCGTGTGGGTCTCTGGGATGGTAGATCCACAAGGCTTTTCTGAACTGTGACCAAAAGGCCAGTTCATCAGACACCAGAACTAAGGGGGAATTTGTCCCTGGAGTTTTGCATCTTTCCATTGTTCCAGCGTAATCCATTCCCCATGATTCACTCCCCTGCTCCTTGTAAGTGAGCATGCACTCTTGAGAGGCAAGCTGCTCCTCTTTAACTTGTTCTTCATCACCCGAGATGACAGAGAATTCCCTCTTTCTGAAATAAGTCACATCCTTCCGGCCTTCCCTAATTCGAAAAGAGTTCCACTTGTCAGCACCAGCTTGCCCAGCCTCTGGCCTCCCCACTTCCCATTCTCCTTGTTCTCATCAAGATCATCACTTAGCCCTGAATGGAAAGTAGCCACTAACTCAACTAGCAGCTTCTCCAAGGCTTCTCTCTGCTTTGTCTGCAGCAGAAAGCCAGGGATAGTGCTCTCTCTCTCTCTCTCTCTCTCTCTCTCTCTCTCTCTCTCTCTCTCTCTCTCTCTCACACACACACACACACACACACACACACACACAAGGCTGGTGGGATGAGATAAATTCAGCTAGAGACTGGACAAAAGACTATTCACATGAGAATTACAATTCAGAACAGGTGCCCTCAGGACCATCTACTGTCTATAACTGGAATAGGTCCAAGAGGATGCCAGGCAGGCAGTGCATGAGCCCCCCCCCTTTCCCTTTCTCCATTTCTCCTTCCTTCTCCCCTTCTCTCTCCCTCTCTCCTCCCCCTTTTCCTCTCCCCCTCCTCCATCTCTGAGTACACTCACAAGCTGTGTGCACACACGTGTTGCACAGTTTTGCATATGCATGTGTTTTGTGTGCAGTAAGCCTCATTTGGCACACTCTCATTCCCTAGAGCTCCACTTCTCAACTCTTTGATCATACTCAGAACCCTCAAGAAAACTCGACGTTCATTAGAGAAAGGTGTGGTTATAGCAGGAGCCCTGAAGAACCCAGTTCCGTGTCATCCCAGAGCAGAAGCGTAAAAACACACCAAAGATAAAGCTGATTCCAAGGGCCTCGGAGACCCCCCTTCTCTTCTGAGCACCATATCTGTTCTCCACTTCTTACCCTGACTTGTTTCTAAGAAGGTTAAAAGCCCCTTCTCAAACAAACAAAAGCACGGATGGAGGTGTGGCTAGCTGATAATAACACTTGCTTAGCATACACAATGTCCTAAGTTAAATCTTCAAAGCTTAAAAGATACACATATATTTGCATGCAAAATGTAGAGAAAATTGACGGGCTTGGGAGATACCCAGCCAGCGAAGTTCTTGCTGCAAAAGCATAAGTTCTGGGGTTGATTTTGCACCCCCAGAACCCATGTTAAAATAATCCAGGCACAGCAGCAAACATCTGTAACCCCAGTGCTGGGCAGGTGGAGACCAAAAGATCTCGGAGGCTGTCAGCCAGACAGTCCAGCCTAATCAGTGAGCCCCATATTTAGTATGGGACCCTGTCTCAAAAATTAAGGTGAGGAGCTATTATAAAAGACAACATTTATCTCTAGTCTACACAAACACACACGTACACATATGCACATGCACTGGCATACACATACAAACAAACTAATTTTGCATGTACACACACCAATAAGCAAGAATTAATTGATATCCATATAATGGAATTTAAGGTATTATTCAGTCATCAGAAAAAATGAAGTATAGTGTGAAAGAACCTGGTATAGTGTCAACGAACCTGGAAAACATGCTAATCAACAGAAGCGTCACATAAAAGATCATGTATGAAGACCCATGACAGGTGAATGCACAGAGACAAGGCTAGAGGGCAGAGAGTACTAGTAGAAGCAAGTTGATAAAACGAAAATGTTCCGGATGCATTGGTGAAGATGGCCACACAGTCTTGTGAATAGATGAGGAAAAAAGTTGCCACCACTCAAAGCTCTATTAAAATTGTAGATTTTAACAGAATGAATTTTATGGTTTGCAAATTATAAATCCATTTTTGAAAAGGTTTGGAATTGGAGTGGCCAGTAAGGAGTGGGGAAAGCAGGAAGGGACACGGCAAATAGCACCGTGTGATTTGGGGGGCTCCTTGTCTGAAGGGCATCCCAATGGGACTTCCTGAAGCACTGCAGGTGGTTGGAGATAAAGCCTCTAAGGAAAATTTCAAGGAGGGACATCTCCATGGGTCAGTAGATCCCATCCATGCCTGGAGTTTATAGCTGTTACTTTCAGATTCAAGAACAAAGAACAACTTTTCCCTCTTCACAAAGAGTTATCTCATTGGTTCAAGAGAGCTGGCTCAGCAGTTAAGAGCCTTAACTCCTCTTACAGAGGACTCAGGTTCAGTTCCCAGAACCTATATCAGGTAAGTTACAACCATCTGTAGCTCCACTTCCATGGAATCTGATGCCCTCGGCTTCCACAGGTACCTGCATGTATTTAGCCCACATAAATTCATGTAGGAACATACACATGATAATAACTTTTTAAAAAAGAGTTGCATGTTATTGTTTGCCCCTTGTGTTTTTAATCGAGATCTTTCCCCTCTCTCTCATGCATACATTTATATTGAACAATCTGACACAACCTCCAAATGATTGTACTTCTGAAGAATGAAGATGTTGCTTTGTTTCCAAAATCCATGACTTCACTAGCCTTGTGTAGTTGGCTTGTTTTTCAGGACCACGTGTGATTTTCCTCTTGTTGAGTGGGCCATATGTACCATTAGAGTGCTGTTGGTTATTCCCAAAGTGTGTGTCACTCCTGTACTCTGAGGGCTATCATCCCATGATGGTTGTTGTAGTTTATCGATGGCAAGATGTCATAACTGGGTAAGACTACTGTTTGCTTCTCTCCTTTGAAAGCCTGCATTGTACCTTCTGGTACCATGGAGGTTAGTCCAGGTAGCTAAGGAATGCTAAAAGCAGGAGAAATAGTCTTCCCCAAGGAAGGGCATCTAACTGGTTATTCAATGCTCAGCCCTGAAAACATACAAGTAACATTATATGGACCGAGCTGTATTTGTGTATTCAAGAACATATACACACATATATGTAACAACAAGAAAAAGAGACCATGAGTTCTAAGTGGGGTGGGGCTGGGGTTACAGGGGAAGGTTTGGAAGAAGGAAGAAAAAGGGAAATGATATAGTCATAATCTTAAAACAATAATTTTAAAGAAATAGGATAGTCTTTTATAGATCCATGATTCAGGTATTGACTCACCCAGATTAAACAGTGGGCGGTCACCTGTATCTAATTTGACATAAAGAGCCTTTTTGAGCGATGCTGACTTTGGAAGTGTAAGAAGAGTCACATTGGGGCTCTACCCCTGCCTCTGTTCTGTGCAAACCCGCCCTTTTCCAAGAGCTTTCCTTGTCCATCTTCCCACTCAGAAGTTAAGGCTTCCTCAGCTGCAGGATCTTTTAAAATAACTGAGCCTGTTTTAAAAACCTCTTCAGACACAGGAATGAGGGCTGAAACTAAAAGCTGGGTGTGATAGTAAAAGCTGTAACCACAGCACTCTGAAAAGCTGAGACGAGGAAGTGACAAGTTCGAGGTCAACCTGGACTAGGTAGTAGAACTTAAAAGGGAAAGGAGGAGGATAATTTAATTAATAAGAAATTTAAACTTGGAGTTGGTTCATCTAACTGTTCTCTTCTTTCTGCTTCTCGCTGTCTCATGGAGGAGCCAGCCCACAATCTTGGAAGCATTACCATGATTCATTGGTAGCCAATTTACTTTTGGGTCAGAATAACTTTGAATCTTGCTGCCCAGTGTGAGTTATTAAAATGAAATATTAGGACAGGCCTCTTTGCACTCACATTTTTCTCCTTTCTTCATTCTGCAAATTTTGATAAGCTCCTACTGCCTGCCAAGTCTGTGTCAGAGAGGTAGGTGACAAGATGAATTAGACCCCCCCCCCCATTTCCTGCCCTCGGGGATCTCAGGCCTTATACAGAAGACAGACAATTAAATGGACAGTTGTCTACTGCACGACCCCCTGGCAGGGCATGTGTACTCTCCGCTGGGACCTCCTCTAAGGCAGAAGGCGAGTGGGCTTCCCTTGGGACTGTGCTTCAGGGAAACTGTCCACCACACAAGGCCAGTCACTGTGCTGAGTGTCCTTGCAGCCACCAGCGGCCACATAGCCTCTCCTTCCCTGAGCTTCCTTGTCTGTGAAGGGAGACAGACATCAGTGCAGTCGGCCGCACAGGGGCTTCCGGTGCAAGGCACTATGGGAGGAAGGAGAAGAGAGGACACTTTCCTTACCTAAGGAGAAGACAAGAGTCCTTCCCTATCCACTAGGAAGCAATGGAGTCCAAGGCAGTGGGGAGAAACGGTAAATGCATTTCCCAGACATTTCTTCCTTCCAGAGGAGCCGGGAGACCTATGGCTTGAACGTCTCTAAGTTCTTCAGAGATGTGGGGCTTCAGATGGTCTTAAAGAAAGAGGAGACATCTTTCTTTTAGAAAGCACAGCATATTTTGTTTTAAAATTAGATTTGGGGTCTGTGACGATATGGATGGATACAATTTTTTTAAAAAACAGTAAACAGTGGAACTTCCGTTCCATCTTGGCTCCCTAGCTCAGTCTCTTTACAGGGATAATCATCACCCAGGGACTAAACACAGGAATACTGCACACTCCTCACCTGGCTCCCTTGTCGTACGCACACGGCTCATCATCTTGCATTTTTAAACATTTAAACAACCGGCTCTGGCTGTACTCTGTCTATGACTGCGAAGCAGGGAGGAATCACATCGTATTTAACCAGCCACCCACTGACAGCATTTATGAAGCTTCCAGTCCTTTGTGGTAACGCGCCATCCCGTGATGCATGGAGGAGTAGAAGAGAGGAATAACACTGTACATAAAGTATATCTTATGGTCAAGGTCAAAATTATTCTAGAAGTAGGTAGATTTAACAACGTGTAGCAAACAGGCCTGTATAATGCACAAGAAGAGAAAAAAAACCCTACAAGTCAATATATCATCAGTTGCGTTTACAAGATGTAGAAGAAAGCAAGCCTCGGGTCCTTAGCCTAATTTTGTTCAGAGAGGCCCCAGGTAGTTCATACATACAGGGAAAAAAAACCAGCGCTGTCAGGCTCCTCTCCCCCCAGGAAATAAGGCACAGACACAGTGGGGTGACATAAACATCCCAGCAGGTGCAGTGCGTGAGCCTGACTGGGCATGAAGGCAGGCATTAAGAGGGAAACAGGGGTGTCTAGTGAACATCTACCTTGCGAGTTGTGTGTGCAGGGGCTTGCAACTGCCAGGGTGCAGGCAGGCCAGCAAGGCTTGCCTGGAATGGAGGATGCCCTTCGTGAGTTCTGCTGTTGTATCTATACTGCTATACCATTAGCATCGCTACCCAGAGAAAACCCAAAGGAAAGCAGGGCACCCTCCTGGTTCTGGGTGACAGAAACTGGAACCACGTGAGCAGCAGCTCTCTAGTTAGGGAACCTCCCTGGGATTATTTCTACCTGCAGCGGCCAAGGCTCAAAATGTGACTCCTGCAGGAAAATTCCCAGGGTAGACATTTTAGGTCAAAGAATATGTACAGTTTCGTCAGAGATGATAATCCCAGAACTTGGGAGGTAGGGTCAGGAAGGTCAAGAGTTCAAGGTCATTCTTAGCTACACAGTGAGTTCTATGTAGAACATAGAACAGGTCTATGTGAAACCCTGTCCAAAAAAAAATTAAAAGCATATGAAATCTTTAAATAATAAGTTAAATATTATTCAAAACAAGTAAGCAAGTAAATAAAAGCAAACCATATGCAAAAATATGTGCAGTTCCATATTTTGAAAGCTAATATGAAATAGTCCTCGCAAACCATTTCTCATCCCACCTGGTGAGTCCTGAGAGAGGGTGGACAGCCCCCCCTCAGTGCTACTAAATCTTTGAACTGTGACCACATGATTAATTGGATCTGAGAAGCAGTCTTATCAGCATTTCTCCTGCTATTTGTGAAGGAGGCTATCTCTTCCTAGGTTTAAAAGCCATCTACTTCAAGAGTTTCCTCTGTAAGCCCTTGGTTCATATGTTTGGTTGGTGTGGACTGTTAGGTTAATGATCTTTTTATTGATTTACAGAGGCCCTTTATGTATAAGGACATCAAGTCTTTACTGATACGCTACAGCTCTTTTTTCCTGCTGGTTATTTGTCTGTTGACTTTGAGGTATTTCCCCTTCCAGAAATTCCACATTGTTGATAGTTGAATTTATCATCTTTCCTTCACTAGCTCGAAATGCTATTTTTGCCAGATAATAAAATGGGTTGGGTAGAATCCCTTAAAAGAGAATGCAGGCGTCCCAGAGAGACCAGCTTGGCTAGAATGGAGTGGAGACTGGAAGGTCCCTGGGGTCACTGAGGCAGGACTCTGTCCCATGGGCTTGCAGGAGGCTGGCGGAGCTTGCAGGAATTGCAGCTGCAGATGTAAACTTGCTCAGTCTCCCAAGGCCAACCGTGTGATTTGCCTGACAATTTGTCATTGCAGACGCTGATAACCTGGGAAGGCGACACTCTGGTGTGTGTGCAGAAAGGGGAGAAGGAGAATCGCGGCTGGAAGCAGTGGGTGGAAGGGGACAAGCTGTACCTGGTAAGCCCCCGGGGTCTGGACAACACCTTCCTCCCGCAGCACTCACCTGGCCAGGAGCTTTGACAAGAAAAATGGCCCTGAGCCCCAGCCAAATGCATTTGGTCATATAGTCAGAAAGCCCTTCCCATCTGGCTCAGGGGACTCCAGGAAGAAATCTATATGGCTGTTTCTGTGAACGGCTGCAATTAAAAAGAAAGTTTAAAATGCTGAGCTAGGAAACCAAGATCCAAGGAGAAATGCAGACAGCCTGCTAAGGAGCAGCTAGGGAGAAAGGCGAGCCATAAGTCGCCTGGACAAGACCAGGCGTCCTGTCAGTACCTGGGTGGGGGAGGGGGGCTGAGAGCATGAGGGGTGTGGAGGGCGTGGTGGGAACACTGGACTCTCACCCTAAGCCTTGGAGCCTAAGGCATGGTGGACCTGATCCCAGCTCCTATGAGGTTGATTTGCTACTAGAACAGAACAGTAGGGGCAATGGCTGACATCCTTCAATAAACGGTCACTGTCTAGACAGCTTTATTTTTCACTCTGCAATCTTCACAACAATTTATGGGCCCCACATCAGAAGAGTGAGAAAAGTTTCATCCTTTCAAACACTCAGCTACTCATCTGCTCAATGAGTGGCTCCTTCAGCAAACACATCCTCATTCATTCATTCATTCATTCATTCATTCATTCATTCACCTATGGAGTCAGGCAGGTACCCAGCTCTGAGGTCAATATGATGTCACCAAGATGCTCTTCGGATCTGAGCAAGCTTCACCCGAGATCTTTATTTCAGGGACATGTCAGCTAGTGATATATGGGAGGTGGTCTCAGCGCTTCCCACGGGCAGCTCTCCCTATTTCCTGTGGCTTGGATGATAGATTTTTTTAAAATTGTATGGCCATCCCCAGCAGTGTCTATGGTTAAGACAACAAATCCGTGGTCAGTGGCAGCGAGCATGGCGGCCTTCCTCATGCTCACTCCCCCTCCTCCCTCGGGGTTCAGTGAGATGCAGAGAAGGCCCGAGGTTCTATCTACCTCCATGAAAAGTGGGACCCTGTCCACTGTGCAGGCAGAACAGGGGGAGCCCTTCTGAAGCCCCTCCCCTATTTTGGGGCCATTGCTAACAACCTGCCTAGTGCTTCTCCATGCTACCCTTCCCTTCCTCTCGGCTTCGCCACCTTTTAATAAATTAGGCAATGTTGCTTTAATCATGGGAGCAGGGGAAATCCTGCCCAAGAGGGTCGTTTCTTTGTATTTTTCATTTTTATAGTTGTTCAAGCTCAATTTGAGTGTCAAAATCAAATTACTGCTACCTGCAGGGCATGGCAGCCTACTGGATCTGGGAGGGACACTTTGCCCAGAACAGCTAAATGCCCTCTTTATCCCAGCCTCAGCTACCTGCCCCAGACCCTAGGAGGGACAAGTGGGCAGAGGGCAAATCTGGACTTGTTGTGACCACTCACCCACTTTCTGACTTGCAGGAGCTGACCTGTGGTGACCAGGTGTGCAAACAAGTGTTCAAAAAGAAGTGAGGGGAAGCCGGGCACGCATGCGGAGTTCTCTGCCAGTTTTGGAAACCAGCCTGGGGAACCCCCTGCTCCTGACAGAACCCACTTCAGTCACAGGCCTGGCTTTAAACTTGAATGTGTGAAGGAACCTCATCCCACCCCCCACCTTGGAACCTGTTATTAAATGTAAAAAAATGTCTCTCAGCCTTGGAAACCCTATGCATCCTTTATTCCTAGTTGTCCATTTTACCCACAGGCAGAGGGGGCACTGCCTGCCAGGCTGGTGATGCTCTTGGCTTCATTGTTTCCTTTTCTCTGTTTGGTTTGCTGGAGGGGTTAGCAACACCGTCAAGCAACAATGCTGACTCATGAATGTCTCCTCTGGGAGACACTCCTTTGTAGAGATGTACACCCCTTCTCTTAACAGTCTATGTAAAGACTCATCTGCCTTCCTATGAGTCAACCATATAGAGTTGCCCCAGAGCCTCTGCAGGTCTGCAGTGTCAGCTGCTCTCAGCCCTCAGTGCTTCAGCCCTGCACGGAGAGGTGGGCTGTGAAGCGCCCGCCCATCCACACCTTCTCCCCCTCCACTCACGCTGCATGCTCAGGTTTAGACACTAGAAAATTCTACTGCAAGTTCCCACTCCACCGCTTGGCTAAATGACCAGGGGAGCATCCCTTTTCCTTTCTGCCCTTGCTTTCGCTCTTCTGTAAGAGAAGATGTTAGGTCACTGGGGCAAATAAGCAAGTCAATGCACCCTGGTGCTTGGCATGGGGCCTGGCCCTGGTGAGGACTCAGTCCCTGCCAGCAGTGCAGGGCTGAAGCACTGAGGGCTAAGAGCAGCTGACACTGCAGACCTGCCAAGACTCTGGGGCAGCCCTATATGGTCTGTTTGTGCTAAGTCAATCCCCTAGAAGCCACAGATGAGCAAAGTGATAGGTCAGTACCTCTGACACGTCACGGTGCCATCAGAATGTTAAACTTGATACTCGGAGCACAACTGTGTTTTCCCGCTGGCCACACAGAAGGGTGCACCTAGAAAGACAGAGAGCTTAGTGGTGATAGATCTATGGGGCCCATTTATGGGGTTCATCGAGTCCTGCAGTTCAAAAATCATCATCTTTTTTAAAAATTTATTTACTTTTATGATGTGGGAGTGTCATATATCAATCTGTTGATTTCATTGGTTAAGTTATAATAAACCAACTGCTTGGCCTCAGCTTAGAACATAGATGGGAGGAGTAAACAGAATAGAATTCTGGGCGGAAGAGGAAGTGAGGTCAGACTCTGCTCTGCTCCCGGAGAGACCCGACAGCTCTGCTGGAGCAGAGACGCCATGCTCAGCTCTCCTGGGTAGATGCAACGATGGATGGAGGCTAGAATCTTCCCGGTAAGCGCACCTTGGGGTGCTTACACACATTATTAGAAATGGGCTAGTCCAGGTTCGAGAATTAGCCTGTAAGGGCTAGAGTTCATGGGCCAAGCAGTTCTTAAATGAATACAGTTTGCGTGTTGTTATTTCGGGCATGAGCTAGCCAAGCGGCCGGGGTGTTGGGGACGCAGCCCCGCCGCTCCTTATTTCAACACTTTTATTTCATGTGCATTGGTGTTTTGCCTCACACGTCTGTGTGAGGGTGAGGGATCCCCTGGAACTGGAGTTATAGACAGCCGTGAGCTGCCATGTAGGTGCTGGAAACCTGGGTCCACTAGAAGAGCAGCTAGGTTCTTAACACACCTCCTCCAATAAGGCCACACCTTTTAAACCTTCCCAAAAAGTTCTACTCCCCTGGTGACTAAGCATTGAAATAAAGGAATCCATAGGGACCATTTTCATTCAAACTACCACAAATACTGCGACAGGTACAGACCCTAAGCTTCTTCAAAGACCTCTGATCCCACTTTTTAAAAATTGTTTGAAATTAGACATCTTTTTTTTGTTTTGTTCTGTTTTGTTTTTGTTTTTCGAGACAGGGTTTTTCTGTAGCTTTGGAACCTGTCCTGGAACTAGCTCTTGTAGATCAGGCTGACTTTGAACTCACAGAGATCCACCTGCCTCTGCTGCCCAAGTGCTGGGATTAAAGGCGTGCACCATCACTGTCTGGCTTAAATAGACTTATCTTTCATAAAATAAAGTTTTCGAGACCAACTCTGGAGTATCACTGGATATCTGGCAGCAGGGGGTGGGGGTGTGACATCCTGCTTCTGCACTGTTGTATGAGCTGTGGGCCTGCTTTTCATCCCGCCCGGCTCCCGCACCGCTAGCTTTACACCAGAAATAACAACACACAAATTGTATTCTTTTAAACACTGCCTGGCCCATTAGTTTCAGCCTCTTAACCCATTTCTATTAATCTATGTAGCACCACGAGGTGCGCTTACCAGGAAAGATTCAGCATGTCTGACCTGGTAGCTGGCTGCATCGCATCTGCCCTGGAGAGAGCTACATCGCGTCTGCCTCAGAAAGCGGAGCTATCACGTCTGCCCGGAAGAGGGGAGCATGGCATCTGAGCTCACTTCCTCTTCCTTCCAGCATTCTGTTCTGTTTACTCCACCCACCTATGTTCTAACCTATAAAAATGGGCCAAGACAGTTTCTTTATTAGCCAATGACCTTCCTCCATCACTGCACAGAACCTAATAGAACGCATGGACAACAAAACCAGCCTTGCAGAGCTGACCGAACTGGACTCTCCATCAGTCTAGCTCTTTCCTTCAGGATTTGTGCTTGTCTGGAAGGGTGGAAGTCAGAGATGTTTAATTTTGGCTCCCTGGTTACACTTATTATGTAGATGGACACACTTAGAAGCTGGGGCTTGAGAAAACCAAATAGAAATTAACTAGTCCAAAATTTTTAAAAACTTCAAATATTTGGTCATGGGTTTTTTCTGAAGCCAGCCCTCACATTAGTTGTTCCTTGTGCTTTCAGAATGATGCAGTTATAAAATATTGGTGAATGAGTACACAGGAAGCAAGCCTGAAAAAGTAAACAAATCTCACCCTTTGGGGTATTTTACAACAATGAAAATGTCAAAAAAAATCTTCCTGAGATCCTGCCACAGTCAGGTGCTGTAACAGAGCCTGGAGAGCTGTGGGATGCTCAGGTCTTTGAAGAGAGGAAGGAGCCACTGTAAATATCCCACCTGAAAGGGATTTAGTACAGGGGAAGCATTTAACAAGGAAAGAGGTTAATACGGAAAGTGGAAATGCCTCAATGCCCAACAAGAGATGGTGACACAGGTCAGAGCAGCATTAGGACAATGCCAACACCACTCAGAATCCAAGCACACAAGGAAGAAAGTGGTATTATCACAACCAGGTCATCAGGCCTGTCATGCAGATCCCGCCATGAAGGGAGCTAACAGGCAAGGCACACTGTTGGTCGCTTTCTGTTTCCGGTGCTGCAGCAGATACCACAGAGACACAACCTAGAACAAGAAGGCCAGGAAGGAGAGAGTGAGAGCAAGAGAAAGACAGAGAACCTATGCTGGCAGACTTCCTGCTTCTTCCTTTTTTGTCCCCCAGCCTATTCGATGGTGTTGCCCAGATTCAGAGCAGGTTCCTCTTAGTTCTTTGTTTCTGGAAATTCCCCACAGACACATCCAGAAACGTTTCTTCTTACTATTATAAGCATCTTTCCATCTAGTCTACAATTAAGATGAACTGTCACCCAGTCACTGCCCAAAGGAGGACCCAGAGAAACAAGTCAGCCTCTCATCTCTTCCCACTTTCATTAGCCCCTTCAATAGGCCCTGTCTATCCTGTCATTAGGCCCTTTGACAGACCCCCTGCACACCTCAGAAGCTGACAGTTGCCAGGAATCCTGGAACCCTTCCAGACAGAGCAGACTAGGAAAGGACAGGTGTTTGGTAGGTAGAGGCTGTAGCTTCCGGTGACTATTTTGAGTTGAGCTATAAAGAGTAAACACAAGACTGGCAGTGCCTAGCTTGTGTCAAGCTCTGGATTGACCCCCAGCACTGAAAACAAAATTACCAAGTGACTTGAAGGGAGGTAAAAGAAGTAAAAGAGAGGTTGTCCTCATCAGCTAGCTGACACCTCCCTCTTTGTACCTCATGACACACCAGGTACTTTACATGTAGACTTTAGCTCTCTGGATCCTTAACACAACCTACACAGAGATATTATTCCAACTTTATTAGGCAGAATGGAGTGTGGTTACACACGGGTAGTTCTAAAACTTAGAAGGCACAGGCAGTGGGACTGTGACTTTGAAGCCATCCCAAGCTACATAGTAAGTTCCAGACCAGCCTGAGAGACACACAGCTAGACCCTGTTGCTAAAGCAATGAGGAGACTGGGGCTCTTCCAAAGGATCTGAGCCAGAGTCCCAGAACCTGTATGTTGGCTCATAACCTCTCTAACTCTACTTCCAGGGGGATCTGATGCCCTTTTCTGGCCTCCACGGGCACCATGAATGAATGTGATACACAGACATAAAGGTAGGCAAAATACTCACACACATAAGTAGGCTATGTTAAACAGGCTCAGGGTGACCGCGAAGATGTGGAGGACCAGAGATGGAGTGCATGTCACAGAGTCCAGTGTTGTGCTAGCATCTGCCTGGTAGCATCCAGTAGCAATCAGCCTTCCTAGTCACCCATCACTCTCTGAGCAAATGGTAAATGTGACCTTTTTCCAAATGCACACAAACCTTAATCTAAATCACAAAGGACAATGAAGTGAATAAAAAAGCTTATTGAATTGGAACGGAACAGACTTTTGTTAGCCTAATTACTTTTAACTCCTATTAAGTACTTCAAAGCTACAATGGAAATATTTTCTTTTACTAAAGTTCATTGTTTAAAGCTTTAAATTTTTTTTAAAAATTATTTTTTTATGTATGAATATTTTGCCTACAATTTTTATCAAAACTTCCCCAGAGCCCAAGATACAAGCTAGCTGCCTCTGGGTAAGAGGTCTCAGCTGACCATGGCTGGAGGGGTAGCTCTGAATCCTTGCCTCTCAGGCCTTTTCACACAAGCAGCCACTCGGGGGACTTGTGGCTCT